GTTAACCCTAACTCAGCATAAAGGTTGTTAATAGTTCACGAGCAAGAGATAATTGCAAGTAGTAATTATCAGTTACAAAGAAGAAGTCAATCTCTATACATGATAATATCAGGATGATAGATAAAATAGGGATTTAATGATGGTTCTAATTGCAAGCGAGGACGAGTAATTACTTAAAAAATCTGTAGTGTATTGACAAAAAGGCTACAGAATTACTTAAAATCTTTTATTTAACAGAGAAATTTTTATGCAAACTTACCCTATTCTTATAGCATAGGACTGTCAGAATTTATTATTCAATAAGAAAAGTTACTGAAAATGATAATATTCTTAGCATATTCATCTTTTTCATATCCACACAGTTTAAAAATGTGCAAATGCCATATTTCAAAATCAAAGTTATTTATGAAACCTTACAAAATCTGATAATAAATCTGATTTGTGTGTGCAAATTTTAAAATCTAGATCTCTTACATTAATTATTTCTGTCTTTTAAATTACATCCAATATTTATTTCATTTAATTGATTAATATGTTGTACTAATATTCAAAGTCGTTGAAGCACTTTTTGTGTCCTGAAATGCCAAGTATTTCCATAAAAAAAATAAGCAGGCATACAGAATAATTCATTTAATAGTTCTAAATCGCTTTAATTATTTCATGTCTAAAATTTCTACACAGAAATCCGCTGTCTAATTTTTAGTATCTTTTATCGGACGAAATTTTTCAAAGAGGAATGAATTAAAAGTCTGATTGAGCAAAACACATCTTTAAAGCTAAGAAGTACAAAAATGTCAACACGATTTTGCCCTCCTTTCAAATCAGTCATTTAAACTATCAAAAACCTTTCAAAAAAAGGATAAACATTGCGAACATAAAAATCTGCCCTTTTTTATATATATATATATAAAAGGAATTTATATAAAAGGAAATGTGTTCCTTCTTTTATAATAAAAGGAACCCTTTTCCTTCTAAACTTTTGAAAGTCGCAACGCTTAAAAAATGATAAACTACGCAAGGTAGAAACCCGCCTTGACAACTCAATCGCATGCGTGGTTAATGTTGTGCGAATAGCTTAAGCGCTAATCGCACCACGCCAGTTGTCATGTTTCAACGTACCAAGCTTGGTATGGTGCCAATGGAGTTCTCGAATGGACGGTCTGCCCAGAGTCCAGACCTGAACCCTATCGAGAACCTCTGGACGAGTTGCATCGCCGAATTCAGAGGTGCACTACCCTGCAAATCGGTGAAGGAAACTTCTATGTCTTCTCCAAGCCGAGTGGAAGAAATTACCACTAGCTGTCATACAAAGATTCGTGGAAGTATGCCCCGAGGGGGCCACGCTGTAATTACCTCTCGTGGAGGCTCTACCACTATTGATTTGAATAAAGTTGTTTTTCTTTTCTATCACAGGTGTCCAAATACTTATTGGTAGTCAGTGTATTTCTAACTGAATTTGCCCCGGGTTTTATGAATATTCGCGCCGTTTTACATAAGATACAAGACAGTAAGAGATGGCTTCAACGTCTATTCAGCAAAAAAAAAAAAAAAAAAAAAAAAAAAAAAAAAAAAAAAAAAAAAAAAAAAAAAAAGAAAAAATGAGGTTGTGAATTGGAAAGACAAGAAGGATATACGTTTGATGAGTACAGTCCGTAATAAATCGATGATTGATGTTGTAACTCGGAAAAGAACAGTAAAAAAAAAACAATAATTGTAAAAGATTACAACAACAAAATGGGAGGAGTGGACCGCCTGGATTAGATGTTATCAAATTATCCTGCTCTTGGAAATAAGCAGAGATATTATTATTTTTCAATTATGCTTATTTCCTTATAATTTTACTCAATATTCATTGACATACGAAAGTCATGTATGGAAAGTTATGATGTACAGAGAAAACAACATTACACGCTACGAAAAACAGACGGCCGCTGGGGAGAAATTTTCACGGACAGGAGAGGACGGCGAAAGGGTTAATTTGGAGCACATCGTATCTGAATGAGTTGCAATCGTATCCGAACGAAATAATGAGTTGATCTTGCAAGAGATCTACGATGATGACATGCATTTTTTAATGAGTTTTCACAATAAATTGAAAAATATGGATGAAACTCGTAAAGCAAAAGTTAATCTCAGGATCATGATCCTATAGATGATCGATCCCATCCATTATTTTTCATTTTATTATGAAAATTCTTTAAAAAATGCATGCTTGCAAAAATTTTACTTTTTGTGTGTAAATTATTATTATTTCTTTCTGTTTATTATTTTGTATAAATTATTACTATCATTTTCTTCTGTTTAATTATTTTTGTATTTAAGAATAAATAAATTATTGAAAAAAAAGCTGGAAATATTGTATTGCTATTTGCTTCAAATGCTGATTTTCTTTCCAAACAAACTTCATGAATTAATTTTACTGAAACATCAAATCAGTATCAAGAATCTGCTGTTTTTTTACAGTAAAAATATAACTTTAAAAAAAAAAGAAAATTATTTTCACTTATTTAAGAATAGTCACAATAGTCAATTCAATGGCTTTGTATAAGTAATAAAAGATTAATCTTTTGAATTCCAAAGAAGGATAAAATGTAGTGAAATATCCTTAAAATAACAGTCAACAGTCTAAACAGTTTTGTTTCCTGTTGATGTTCTGTTCTGTTTTTTAATTACGTTCTCCATGAAAGGAATTCACTTTTAATGAAACTGAATAGCACACATAATTCATAACATGCACTATAATTTAATGAATAGTATTTGTTATTATTATCCACTCTTTATTACTATCATTTGAATGCACATTTGAATGCAATTTTGATCATTAAATTCATGCTGTTTCTCTGGTAGAAATTCTTGGATAAGGTATGAATATTTATAATTTGGCTGTATTTGAAGACTCGGGTACCTAAAATTTGTCAATGTGAAATTGCTTTTGAGATATTGGTCGTAAATAGAAATGCCAGCATATGTTGAAATTAAACTCTTTTTAGTGCTTTAATATGCATGTCTGCTAGTGAGTGAAGAACTGTCATAATCTGTCAGCAAATGAAAAATCATTAAAAAAGTACTTACTTCTGACAACAGACATGGATGAAACTTACATCTATGACATCTCACAGCAGAGCAGAGTTTAATTTGAATTACTCATATGATGTAAACATACCAGTTTTCAAAATTATCCACAAAAAATTCCTCAAAGTTAGTGTTTACTATGTACTGCAGTCTCTCGAGTGTAAACCCCTTTTTTTTCAGACAAAGCATATGGAATTCAGGGATGCGGCTTATACATGCAAATTATTAGAAATAGATGTATACAAACAGCTGGAAACACACCAAAATGTATTTAATGATTGAGCATAAAATACATTGTTGGGTGAACGTTTCATAGTATTGTACTAGTTGTGATTGCTGGTCATGGTGACCAGTTGTGGGATACTAGTACTAGTGATAATTGATACTGGTAGTAGAGCCAACTACTGTAGTGATCAACAGTGACAGTGAATAAAGAGTGTTAAGCGCAGAAACATGTTCTTTTTAATTGAAACTTTAAAAAAAAATTTTAAAAAATTTTTAAAAATAATTAATGTATGGTAAGTAATGTTTTCTGCTTAACTGCTTTCACACCTGCAAAACGGAAAAATATTATATATAGGCTATCTGTGTTTTTTTTTTTTTTTTTTTTTAATTAGGCACATTTAGAATATAGTATTTCTCCTAAGAGAAATTATATATAAAAATTGAAGACGGCTTTATATATATAAATATGCATGTGCATGTTTATGTCACAAAGTAAGTTTTGGCATTATTATTACCAATATTCATGCTTTCGTAAACTAATTTTTTTCCCAATTGTACAAAAGTGTTATTTTTATTTAAGAAAATCTCCTAAAATACTATTTAATGATACATTAAAGCATCATTTATAAAAATTTTAGATTATTTATCAGTATTAAAGAAAAAACATTTACTTTGGATGTTTCCCTATCTTTATGTCTGCCAGATTGTAATGAAACTTAATTGAAATACTTTTCATTTCACATTAAATTCACAATTCTAAGTAGCCCATCTGAAACCTTCACTACTATTCTATTATTTTCACCATTTTATACAGGGAATTACAACTGTGGCTGAAACTGACAGATTAATGTCTATTTCCGAAGAAATCTCAAATAAGAATAATCACACAAAATGTAGAATAAATAAACAAAAACAGTTATAATAGCCAGTTGGCAAATAATATGGAAAACCAAACCTTTCATACGCACGTTACACCAGTTCTAGCACTGGCCCTGGATACATATATTTATATATATATTTTTTAATTTACTTATATTTTTGTGTTATTTGTAACATTAAGTTAAATTTATTCCTAATTTTTTTTTTTTTTTTTTTTTTTTTGGGTACGCATAGATATAAGTAGTAGAATTCAAATTAATCGGGCAATATACAGGATAACATCTATGGTTAATCCAAAATCATACAAGACAGATAGTGCTATTTCCCTTGAAAGACATTATCCAACTTGATCCTTCTTATGCACCTGATTTTTCTTTTTATTATTGTTCATTTTATATTACACAGCAGAATTCATAGTTTAGAATATTTTTGTATTATTTTTTGGCTTATGAACTTTTGGTATATGCTTCTACATAAAGTTGTATTTATTTTAAAGTATGAAGTGTTTAAAAAGATTTTTGAAGTCTTTCCTATTGTATATATATAATAGCATGCACCAACAAAAGCATATATAATATATTGTTGCATACATGATATAATATATGCAACAACACAAGAACAGTTTTGGGTACATTACAAACATTGTTTTGCTTCAAATTTACAAATTAGACTGACAGTCTTATTTGTAAAAACTGATTCTTAAGTGCACAAGCTACCAAATGTGGGGTCAAAGTTGAATTGCTAGAACATAATGAATAAATAAAAATAATAATAATAATAAAAACTATTCAGTAATTACCAATAGACAATAAAACCAAAGCATATTTTATTTGAAAAATAATGGCTTTTATTCTTATAACTTTTCTTTGATGAATTTGATGTTTAATTAAATTTTATTATGACTATAAAAATATAAATAGCATAACAGTTAAAAGACGTCAAAGAATTTTACATAGGATTTAGGCTAATGAAAACAGAGTGAAAAACATTCTTTTAGATTAAGATCAGATATTAAATGGCATGGCATTAACAAATCAGAATTAGAAGCATATGATTCTATTAAATTTCAACAAATGATTTTTATTTCTTGGACATTAAAAGTTAGCTCAAAATAAATGTTATTTAAAATTGGATCATTTGTGACAAGAAAAACTTGCATAAAAAGATAAAATCTTCAGTCTATAAATTAATTTGGCCTTCAGCCTTAATGTACACAATATAAATTAAAAATAAAGACAGTTCCAATTGCATAAAGAAAATATGATTAATATATACATTATAACTAAAGTATTATTTTATTTAGAGTAAAAAATTAAATATATTTTATTTATACTCCCACTACAATATGAATATAAAGAATGTATATAAAAATTTAGAAAATAAGCAAGTAGACTACATTTAATAACATGATTGCTTAATTTTCCGATGGATAGAAAAACTATTATATTATGCTATGCTAGAAATTAACAACATTGTTAGAAGTATTCAGAGAGGGTGCAAGCAAATAAAAATAACAAATGTTTTCTAATTTAGTCCCTAAAATTATCTGCCTACCAGAATAACCCTTGAATGATGCGGAAAGACCTGCATTTGACCTGAGTCTAGCTATGCTCAAATTTTAATTACATACAAAACAGTACAAACTAACAACATTTACAACTTAAAATTTTATACCATAATAACCAAAAAGATCTTTAGATAAACTATTTCAACAAATGCCTTAATTTAAAAAAATGCGTTTAAAAAATTCAATTTCTGAATTCAGAAAAGCAATTTTTGGCAATATTTTTACCCTTTGAATGGCATGGCTTTTTGGACTTATTAATGTCCTGTCGTTAAACAATTTTTATTAGCTAGCTTTAATAATTGTTTATTTTATTCTTCATTTTTATACTATACTGTTCATTAAGATAATATTTGTATTATTATTTGTTTAATACAATATCATTATAATTTATATTAAATAAATTTTTTTAAATGACAATTTATACTCAGTAACAGAAAAATCTCACAGTGGATAAAAGCATCATGCCACTTACAGAAATAACTGTTTCATAGTCAACAAATAAAGACTGAACAGCTCATAAATTTTTGTAAAATTAATAATCTCACAGTTAATAAGAAATATGGAAAAGCATCAAAATTATCATTAGATTTTTTTTTTTTATTTTTTAAAATTTCAGTTTCTTAATTTCAATTTAGCAATTTTTTTTCCTTTTATATATATCTTCTTTTCTTAAAAGGAGCTTTTTTTAAAAATTTCTTTTAACTGTTTATATATGTGTAATTTATCACATTTAATATATCAAACATAATATATATTAATAGCACATATCACTCAGAAAGTAATAATGCAATATAAACTTTATTTACACCTTTATTATACAAGAATCTGTTGCAAAGCACTTAAACCTCCCATTATATTCACTGGTCTGTTTTTGTACCGTTTTGATATATCTTTCTCAACCTGCAAAAGAGGAAAATTTAGTGAAATACACAACTGCAGAAAGATTTAAAAAATGTAAATTTTTAAGTTAGTGATGGAATTTTTCAAATTTATACTTTTTCAAGAGAAAATGAATGAATTTTACCATGCTGACCAAAAATAATGTCAACGGTTCTCAATTGTTTATTTCCTTACACTTTTAAATGGAAAGCATTATAATTCCATGCAGAATATGAGAAAATAACAATAATGTTGATGAAAGAATTACATATTCAGTCAGAATCTTCTTTCTAGTGCTCATCTTTTTTGTTTTTATATATTCTGTAAAGGCAACACATTTTTTAAATTGTTAACTTTTACACACAGCCACACTTGTATTCTTTTGCATGCCTCAACATTTTTTTAAATTTTGAATTAAATTCACAACAAGGTTATCAAAAAAAGACACTTGGTTTTGCACAAAATTGCATAAAATATAACTTAAAATACAATACAGTTTAGAAAATTCCTTGCTTACATACATATGTTTTCGAAATTGAGGTTATTTCTGTTTGTCATGCCTCGCGCTCGTTCAAACACGAGGTGGGTTCTTCTGTGTGAACTTACCATAGTGGGAAAATAACACTTGTCCGCTTTGACATTTTCTTCACTAATTTATTACACAAACTGCACTATTGATACACCATACAAGCGAATACACTGTAAAATATCTATATACAATAAACTATATACAATGTATATATACAAGGCGCGCAAAAGAAATTAAAACATGTTTTCAGTTCTCTATACTTCTCACACGGCATGCTTCGCCGGTCCAACTCCAAGTGCCCAAGCAGTCCAGTCTTTCTCCCCCCCCCACCGCCTGCCTCGACCGGTTTTTTCCAGGGTAGGTCACTTCCGTTCGTCGTCTTTCATCAGGGGGAAGGAACTTCACGCCTCTCCTCTGGTTTGTAAATATTTACGACTGAGTCGAAAAATCTCAAACCCTTATTATTTTGGCACTTACCAGGTAGTCCCTCTTTCCCGGGGCACAGCACAAGTAATCACAGTAAAATCAGAGAGAAAAAAAAAAGGGGGTCATGCTACAGTTATAAACACTAACACAAAAAAGAACACTTAAAACACATATAAACATAAAAACTGTACATGTCCAAATTTCTATAGCAATACAAACAAACATTGGCAATATCAACTCACTGACCATTCTGTAATGAATAATTCTTTTACTAATATACCCTAATAACACAATCTTTTCTAGAGTAACCACAATAATACAACAACAACAATAATATAATAATAAATGAAAATTACAATATCCATATACTTTTTGCCATATGCCTTGAACATTATTCTTCTAGTGTTACAATAATAAACAACACACACACAAAAAAATATGACACCAACATTAGTTTTTTTTTTTTCAGTTTAGTTCAGATTATTGGTCACTTATAGATTCATGAGGGATCCTCGATAATTGCGTCTGCATCGGAGTTTTTGACTCCTGGTTTATGCATTACAGTGATTGGAAGCGAGATAGACTAATGCCCATGTCTGTAATCTAGCATTCGGGGTATCCCTTCGGTAAGTACTTTAGCGAGTTATGGTCTGTATGCAACAAATCTTATTCCGTATGTCCAAGTTTCGAACTGTCGAGAGCCCAAAATAATTGCATACGCTTCTCTTTCTATAGTGCTCCATTTAGACTGAGCGCTAGTTAATTTCTGGCTAGCAAATGTTATCGGTCTCTAGCTTTCCCATACTCATCTCGTTGAAGTAAACACGCTCCAATACCTATTAGTGAGGCGTCGGTTTGTTAATTTCAAAAGGTTTCCGTATATCCGGCGTATATAAAAGACGATGCCATGCACAATGCATCCTTTAATTCTTTGAATGCCTTCTCGGCTTCAGACCCCAAGGTTATATCATTAGGTATAGATTTTCTTGTGAGATCAGTTAACGGCCTAGCTATTTTTGCATAATTCGGAACATACTCTCGATAGTAATTATATAACCCCAAAACTGATCTTAATGCCTTTTTGGTTCTAGGTGGCTTCAAATTTTTAATGACCTGCAATTTCTCTGGATCTGGGCCATGTCTGCCTGAGCCTACTATGTGACCTAAATACCTCCGATTTGCCAAAAGAGCATTTCTCAAAATTAGCTGTAAAGTTCAATGTCTATAAAGTACTGAGTACGGCTCTTAAATGTTTAAGATGTTCTTCCCACGTTGACGAATAGACAATTATATCATCGATGAAACTTTCAGCATAATCACTATGTGGTCTAAGAGCTTGATTCATAACTCTTTGGAAAGTTGCGGCAGCCCCTGACAAACGAACAGCATCACTTTTCCACTGATACTGACCTTCGGAAGAAACAAAATTCGTCAGATGTCTACTTTCCTTCTCATAGGGATTTCCCCAATACCCCTTAAGAAATATCTAGCGTAGACAACATGCTGCCCCTGCCTCATATCGAAGCTCTTCTGCGTTTTGCATCGGAAATGGGACATCTTTTCCGCATTAAGCCCTCGATAATCACAACATAAACGTATGCTTCCGTCCGTTTCGCTACACACCACATAGGGTAGCAATCTCTGCTGTGGAAGGTTCAATTAAACCTCTTCTAACAAATCAGCAATTTTTTTTCCACCTGTGGCTTCAACGCTTCAGGTACCTTATAAACTGAGGTTGCTTCTTTCAACTCCCGTTTTTTTTAACCTAATACTGTGGGATCCTACCTTCGCACATTTAATCTCCCGTCAAACACTACATGGAAAGATTGATTAATCTGCTCAACTGATCCCTTTGTGACCTATCTAAATGTTTCCATCCTCTGAAACACAGATCCTATCTAAAAGTTGTCTACTTTAGGGTTTCTTTGAATAGGCGCATGCTGCACCTCCCAAAATTCTGTGTCAGCCTCATGGATTACCCCTACTGCATTTAAGGCTGTATATATTTCCGTAACTTATTTTGATGCAAATGTATAACAGATTCATTCTGGCAATTTTACAAGTATGAACGTGGGAGCCTTTTTTTGCAACTATTTCTCCAGGTCCTATCCATTTCGAGCAAAGTTTATTTGTTGACGTTGGTATCAGTTACTACTACCTCATCTCTATCTCGAATTCATTTTCCTTAGACTTCAAATTATGATGATGAACATATTTCTGCTGTTTAGCTTCCGAATTTTCTTTAGCGAATTTCTCTGCCTCCTGTAACCTATTTCGAAGAGAAATTAAATATCAGTAAACTGATTCCCCAACTCCTTGTGGTAATACCATTCATCTACCCACTTGATTTAAGTATCGCCAGTGGCCCCACTGGCACCCGACCATACATCAGCAAAAATGGTGAGACTCCGGTAGTTGAATTCGAATCTCCCTATAAGTCCATAAACAAAATATGTAACTGCTTATCCCAGTTTCTTCCTTGAGTATCTATCGCGTGATGCAACATTGACTTCATTGTTCCTATCCACCTTTCCACTAGCCTGTTTGACTGCGGATACCCTGGCGTAGAAAATTTGGCGAGGCCCCCTAACCTAGTTAAAAGTTCTTGTGTTAGCTTAGGCCTTATAGTTCGTTCCGTTATCCATGGCTATCATTCTCGGAACTCCTGTTCACATGAAAATATCAATGAAAGCGTCACATGTAGCTTTCGCTGTTATCGCCTTTAGTGGAATATTGCCTCCGGCCATCTGCTATGTTGATCAAAAACACATAAACACATACTGGTGCCCTCTTGAAGATTTTGGCTCAATCGGCCCTAAAACGTTCGCATTAACACCACTTGAAATGGAAGTTCTGGCCTCCCACTGCTGTAATTGGAGCCCTATCCTTCACTTAACTTTCCTTCATAGCTGGCATTCTTGCAAGCTTAACACCACTTCCGCACCTCCTTTGACAATCCTTCCCACCAAAACGACCAATTTTAACCCTTTCCGCCGTTTTCTTTGCTGCGAAAGTGACCCCTTGTAAGCTTTCGTGAGCCAAACTTCACAATTTCTTTCCTGCAGCTTTGAGGAACAACTAACTGACTACATCGCTGCCCATTGATACTTCCCGTATGGTACAAAAATTACTGACTCTAGCCAATACCCATTCTTGTTATTACGTGCATCCATGAACGCGCTTTTCAGCGAAATACATTCCGCTTGCTCCTGTCTAAAACGTTGAGTTTGTGATAAGGGTGGGTTATCAGCTGACACTTGCTCACTGCTCCCCCACTTCTACTTCCCCCTCATCTTTACTCCTTACCAACGGTGTAGTATGAGCTATTTCCGTTTCACCTTCGACCTCGTGACTGGCCTTTTTCTGTCGATTCCTTTCCGTCCAAGTTACTCGATACCTGACCAACTCCCAATACTAGTTTTTCTTCCTTATTTCTCCCCAATAAATATCTCCTTGTTCCCTGAGAAGTCTAAAATCTCGAGGTGTTACCAGCCCCTCCTCGTTCAAATTATGCACTACTGCTGCATGAAAAGTTACATAAGGCTGTACCCTCTCTTCTCCTAACCAGATTACTGATAGGTACTGTAACTAATTGGGCTTCACCTGGGGTCCTACGGCGGGTTGTAACCATATCTTCCCTCCAGACTCCAAATATTTCTGTGGAACTACCGATTTCCGGATTACAGTAATTTCTGCTCCGCTATCAATCACTCCTTTGAATCTAGTGTTGCCTATCTGCAGCTCTATCGTAGGTAATTCCCTACTTGCCCTAGTTAACGGAATTTCTTCTGCATAATTAGCTAACTTCAATCCTACGCATATTTTATTTAATCCCTTTGCTTCCTCCTCATCCGTATCCTCTTTTTCGCTTCCTCTCTTGGGTTTCGCTATCAGGTTTATCACTGGACAAAAACGCTTTATGTGTCCTTCACCCTGACACTGAAAACATTTTAAAACTTTCTTATTTGCCTGCACCATTCCTTCGAGGATTCCAAGTCTTTATTCCCTTATACGTCTCCTTTATCGACCCTGTAATCAGAACTAAAATTTCCCTTACTCTTATTTGGTCACGTCCTAATTTCTCCCCCTTGTCTTACAAATTCTTGTTTTGGTCCCATTTTATTTACTTCCTGAGCACTCGTATTATAATTCCTGGGGCATTGCTGCAACGTAATCATCCAAATTCATTTGCAAGCTCTGACAGAGGTAACCAGTTTTCTACCTCTTTTTAACAGTATATGCGCCTTAACATTTGCGGGTAATTGATCTTTTACTTGATCGACAATCAATAGTTCTCTTAACTTATCAAAAGTTTTTTTTAACTTTTCTGGATTCTAAGTAGAAATCAAGTGCTGCCTCAACCCTTGCTATGTGCTGAGTATACGTTTCCTCATATCTTTTTACGCATTTTTCTAAATTCTTTTATCTTGCAATGGGGTAATCTGGAATTCTTTTAATTACTGTATCTTTAATCTAATATAATTATCACAATCCCTTTCACCCAGAGTTGAAATCAAACTTTTAACTTTAGTTTTTAAACTCTGCAAAATAATTTTTCCTCTTATGTTCTTCAGGAATTTTATTAGAGATTAAAACATCATTTCCGCGTGATGGAAAAAGAACGGCCATTCCTCCTTTTAGATGGCGGGGTCAATCATAACTCCTTTTATTATTTTTAAATGTTTCAAGAAATCATTTCCCTTGCTCTCAGCATCTGAAACCCCTTCATCCTCTGAGCCCGATTTATTTCCTCATTTATCTATTTTCCTACTCTGAATTTCTAATTTCTTAATTTTTATCTCATGTTCTCTCTCTAATTGTCTTTCCGAAAATTCCATCTCTTTTAATTGGTCTTTAGCCGCATCTGCCTCTAACTTACACTTTTCTAGCTGCAGCTCCATTTCCTTTAACTTAATTTGAGCCTGCATGTTCTTAATAATTTCATCAGATTCTTCTGACACCCTATTTCTCCTTTTAGGACCCATGTTAACTTCTGGTATTTCTTTTTACAGCTTTACCCATACAACACATAAATAACACTTAATTTTACAGGCAAACATACATATTTCACTACTACTGAATACTACCATTATTCATTTAGCAAACATTATCATTAGTGAACACAATCATGAATACCTTTCTCATATTACACTATTAACATATATTTCACCATATATTGTTAACACATAAATACCAAAAATTATATTAGCTTTTGAATTAGTACAAAAAAATAGTTCTGAATACTTTGGCCTAACACCGTAATACTTTACATATTCAGGAAATGAAACAAACATTTACTTATTGTTCTCAAAATCATTAAACTAATTAATTTTTAATCAACCTATTAACTTTAATGATTAAAACATTTTGTCAAAATACGGCAACAACAAAAATAGATAATCATTTCTACCTCAATTAGTAACATGAGCACACAATTAAATGTTTCGAAAATTACTGCTGACATATTTTGAACTATATTTAACATTCATTTAGCATACATTATCTCCTTAATAACCAAAAATTAATCATAATTCCTTATTTGCATATAAAATATACTTTCTAAGTGTCTACTGGCTTTAACGCCTGGCATTCTCATCATGTTATTAACCGACATTAACACAATTTGAATTTTCTCCGTTACTATAGTAATTATAGGGAGGGAGCTCTCTTCATTTATATATTGTGCTTCCCAAGAAATTAAGAGGGACCTACTTTTGATCCCGATAGTAGAAAATGACGAGTTGTGCTCAATTCTGTACAATTTCCTCATTGCGCTGCATAACACTTCACTTAATAATATCACCACAGTAATACTGATGATCACTTTTACCACACACTGTTTCAACACTGCACGAACATTTCAATTAATAATATCACCACGGTAATACAGATGATCACTTTTACCACACACTGTTTCAACACTGCACAAACATTTCAATTAATAATATCACCACGGTGATACTGATGATCGCTTTTACCACACACTGGTTGCAACACTGCACAAACATTTCAATTAATAATATCACCACGGTAATACTGATGATCACTTTTCACACAACGAGGTTTCATACACCCTTTCGTTTATTTGCACGTGTAGGCTTACGTGTGCCACTTTCCGTCTTTCATGACCATCTTTTGTCATCTTCCTTGCTTTCGTGAATTATTTCCTTCATTTAAACCATGTTCACTCAAATCACTTTTACGATCTTACTTCCTTCGTACTTTTGGTGATTTTCCTTTTTTTCCCATTATCCTACCAGGGTGTGCGCCAGTTTGTCATGCCTCGCGCTCGTTCAAACACTGAGGTGGGTTCTTCTGTGTGAACTTACCATAGTGGGAAAATAACACTTGTCCGCTTTGAGACATTTTCTTCACTAATTTATTACACAAACTGCACTATTGATACACCATACAACGAATACACTGTAAAATAAACTATATACAATATATATATACAAGGCGCACAAAAGAAATTAAAACATATTTCAGTTTTCTACATTCTCACACGGCATGCTCGCAGGTCCAACTCCAAGTGCCCACTCAGTCCAGTCTTTCTTCCCCCCCCACCAGCCTGCCTCGACCGGTTTTTCCGGGGTAGGTCACTTCCGTTCTTCGTCTTTCATCAGGGGAAGGAACTTCACACTGTTCCTACTGTTTTAACCTCAATGCAAAATTCAATTCTGAATACATCAGACGTACAACATTATACAGTCCAATACCAAAAATCTGTGTTGCCTCTCAGAATATAAACATTCAGTTTATAGGTTCTGGAAACCACAACATTAGAGTACGAAATATCGAAGAAAAACATACTTACCGAATAATGATGTCATAATTACTGAATAATAATGAGTCAAAATGGAAATATCAAATTATTGATATAAAGAAGTTAAAAAAATAAGATAAAATAAATAAGATAAGTTTTTTCTCCTCTAATCTGCATCGAGGTAAAAAAGCAGATGATTCACTCAACTCTTTGTTCAAGCTCACGATTCAAGTTGTATTTTCTGAGCTTTGTTATTTCATTTCACGAGATTGTTTAGTGCTGCCTTTTTTTTTAATCTGGATATTTTGTGGATAAATTAAGTATATTTTAAATTTCAGCCCTTTTTAATACAATGACAGATAAGAAACACACTTGTGATTTTACTGCTTGCAACGTTGAAAAACGTAAACACGTTGCATTGACAGTAATGCAAAAAGTGCAAATTCTGCAAAAGATGGAAGTAGGTGCTACTCCTCGATTTATAGCAGAATGGTATGGAATTGCGACACAATTGTGTATGATATACGGAAAAATAAAGAAAAGCTGTTGAAATTTTACAGCAACAGTGATTTTAACATGGAAATCCGAAATCGGAAATCTTTGCATGAGGCGAAATTGGCAAACCTCAATGCTGTGTACATATAATACAATGAATATAATCAATTTATATATGTAATAAAAATTTAATGCATATAATAAATTATTGCAATAATGTAATAATTTAATTAAATGCATCTAATATGCCTTATTCATTTTGCACTTTTAGTCCGAATATTATGCTTTATCTTTTCTGTCCTGAAATCCGCACAAACTCTGGTCCCAAGCTTTGCGGTTTTCTGGAATTCTACTGTACATATTGATGCTATCATTGCTCAACCACAGTTCCAGTAATAGGCTCTTAAACAAATGGGTGGGTATACTTGTATTCCTAAAAGAATACCATCAAGAATTCCTTTTACCGAAGGGGGGTGAATAAATAGTTACTCAAAAGAAAAGTATGCACCTTTAACAACTATTTCAAAAGTCTCCAGTCACTCAAATAACAAAGTACAAACAATGAATTAAATTCAGATAAAGTTAAAATTGCAATGTTTATTGTATTTGCATAGGCAAATAATTAAATGCAGAACACATTGATCAATTCTTTGTTAAAATTACTAAGCTAAAGGAAATACATTGTACTATTAAAAACCAGGATTTATTTAAGAAATATTCTAATAGAAATAGCTCAGTTTATTTTCAAAAAAGAAGAGTAAAATCTTTACAAAAGTAGCTCCACAAATTTAAGAACGTTTCAGGGAATGATTTATGAAAACTGACTGATGCATTGCTGTAAACAGGATATTCAAATAAAGCAAAGCTGAAAATGAAGTAGAAATTCCAAACTGTAGTTCATCATGATAAGGTTATCAATTATGCATCCCAATCTATCTACATAAAAATAGCAAGAGAATGAAAAAATAGCAAGAGAAATATTTATTAAATGTACACCTTTCAAAACATTTCTTCACAAATTTTTATTATATTTATTTAAATTTTTATCTGATTTTTTATTAATAAAGAGTTGTGATGCTTGACAAAAGAAGAAATGTGTTTGCAAAATACAGCCTATAATGATAAGTCTACTCTCGTAAGCACTGCAAGATGAGTGAAGAAATTAAATATTATCTTTAAGAAATTCCCTCTTACCTTAGAAAACAAAACATAGAGTAATGATTCAGAGCAAGGACCATCAGATAGAATATTTAAGAAATAAGTATTTTTATTTCAAACGCTAATTTTGATGGCGACAATTCAGTTAAAATAAATAAAATACCTCTTCATTTTAAAATAAACAATCATCTCAGATCTATTATAAACAACTACTTACCTGTGAAAGAAGTATCTTTGTTTTTTCAACAATCATTTTTATTTTAGGTTCTAAGGAATTTTGTTCTGCTATAGTTTCTTGATACTTCACTTTTACAGCTTTCTGACATTCAACCATCCTCTCAGCTGTTTCTAGTTTACTTTTCAAGGAATACACAAGCCTATCCACATACCTTTCAGAAACGAAGAAAAATAATCTTTTTACCTACGCAACTTTTCCTACAGGTGCTATAAATACTCATATGAAACACAAATAAAAAATGTATTAAGCAAAAAGAAAACATTCCAAATAGAAGGATAATAAAAGAAAAACATACAACATAGAATTATTAGTTATTAAAAAGGAATAACTAGGAGATTAAAAGAACTGTAGGGTTATTTAAAATGATGATATAACGCATAATGTAAAAATTAAATAATCCTTAGTTCGTAGATTCCTGTCGTTAGATTTTAGTTTCATCCAAACCTGTAAAAAATCTAGGATACAAGCAAGCAAATTTAAAAGTGCTTAAATATGTTTTTATTAAAATAAATATATAAACAGACTATAAAGTCATTTCTTTTGGAACTAATAAAAGAAAATGATATGAGAACTTTTCAATTTTGAACTATAGTTCAAATTATAGTAATATATTACTATTATAATAATATATTACTATCATACTTCGGGCTTTAAAAAAGTGACAATAATATCTACATTAATTGGGAAAATATAGTAACAGTTATTTCAAAGTAAATCTTATTAAAATAGCAAAGAATTTAAATAATAAGCTACCAGACTTTGCTAAATACTCATGCAAAAACGGAAATTTTGGCCTTGAAGACGCTGCTTGTTCCGGACTACCAAATGAGTTTGATGAAGAATGTTTGAATTAACTTCTGCACAAAGACATGTGTCAAACCACTTGAAAATTATCCAAACAAATGGGTTGTAGCCAAATGACTATAGTTCAACATCTTGGGTCTATGGGCAAAGTCGAAAAACTTGGATATTATTCATTAATTTATTGTTTTTTGTTTTGTTAAAACAAAAAATTTTAACTTAAAAAAACGGCCATTGCTTATGTTTCAAGCCAATATAATTGCCTGCAATGCCCTCATATTTTTGCCCACAAGTAACAAGAAAGGGGGGCAGAAGGATGGAAACTGGCAAATATTATATAAAAGGATACCATTACATTACTTGTGACCATTATTGTTTCACACTGTTGACATTATTTTTGATGACCTCACTCCCTGAACTCTTTGATAATAGCGTGCTCCAGTTCTTGATTCTGCCTGCATTGGGTTTACTCACTTGCCTGACTCATTCCCATGTCTACTATGGCACACAACAGCCTTATTCCCTGCATTACTCAGTCCCCAGGGGTCTCCTTCCTATGCATGACTCAAGTTGCGTTAGCTGATTTATCTGATTATGGCAAAGCACTCAAGAATTAACTGCATAAGGGGAAGGATATTTTTTAGAGGACCTTTCTAAGGGAAACCAACTTGCATATGTGCCACACATGGGGAAAACCACAAAAATATCCATGCAGCCAGCCCATTTGCGTGGAAACAAACCCAGGTCAAACTACCAATATACAGTGATTTACCACTTAACCCCTGGTGGATGATGTATGGACCTCAGCATAGTAATCTTTCTAGTAAAGAAAACAGCTATAGGAATCTTCCATGGCCGTTTTCCTTTATTTAAAGTCATTTCTTTAGCACTATTACAGTCCTCTTATGGTGCCTTACAAAGGCAGGAAAGAGACTATCTCAGTTTAGCACATGGTGGCTGCAATATTATTTCATATGTTTGTACGCAACAAGTTCTAATTTTATTTCAGTAAATATTTCTGGAAGGTAATGCCCTATTACTCTCTTTTCTGAATGGTGTCTTGTGACAAACAAGAATACTGACTTATGAATAATGTGAAATATTGCAATCTAAACGGTAAAATTGTTATTGAATAAAAAAGTAATTCAGAAATATTTGCAAAATAAGTTTCTATTGTAAAATATATACACCTGTTTCCTACCTTGAGCAACCTTTTATGAGATAAAGATGTTTAAGCTTAGTAGACATTAATTGTGATGAAATGTCTGTGACCAAATTAAGCATTTCTCTGATATTTTTGACTGATTGCATTTGTAGGGTAGAAGGAGCATTATGAAACAAGCTTGAAGAGAGAACATCATTGGTGATTGCCTCAGCCTCTAAAATCCGTTGTTGAAGAAAAGCTTCAAGCTAGGGATAAAAGGAAAGATAAGTATCTTAATATTTAAAGAATTCCATATACGCAACCAAATGGTATTAATATGCTCTATATATTTTTTGCCAAAATTTAAACCCCCGTGTCTTTACATACACACACACACACACATATATATATATAGATAGATAGATAAACACACATGAACGTAACACTCATGCACACTAAAAGCACTTATCTTATGATCTTAGTAAAAGGATGGCCACTGACTTTTCCCAGTACTGATCTTTGACATATGCTACTATTTACAGAATTCCTTAAAATGCAAAATTTTATGAAAACAGTTTCATAATCATGAGAGGAAGCGTTCTCCAAAAATAAAATCTAACCCTTTTTCTTTCCTTTTTTTATATAATTCCAGTAAAGAAAAAAATTCCAATTGGTAAAATATTCATTATTATAACTACAACCAACTAAAAATGAAAGGTTTATGGTTTTATGTTTTGATTTTTTTTTGTAATGGTATCTAACAATAATATAATCATAAATACAGAATATCAACAGACTTTAAAAACATTTTTAATTAAAATTTAAATGCAAAATATTTGGCTCATCTTGATGAAATGTTGTAAAAACTTAATTAAATCTATATCTAAACATGCATAAAATGTAACAAAATATATGATTAAATGTTATAGCATAAATGATTCAGAAAGGAGACAGTGTGTGATAATCTAATTGCTATCATTTCATTAGTTATGAAATACATTTTCAGGTCGAACGTTTTAATAATTCCCAGCAGAATAGTTAATCCTAGGTATCCCCTCATTTTAGACAATCTACAAGAGTGTGTTGATTTTGAATTCAGATGGATTTTCACTCATTTTATGTTCAGAGAAACTATTAGTTTCTTCCACTATTATGTTCATTAGATTATCGAAAAAAAATGGTGAAAAATCAATTTCATTCGCATAATTTTGAATTAAGTTTACTTCTGCAATACCCATTACTTAACAGATTGAGCTTACGATGGAGTAACCACTGTTCTACTAGATAGTGAGGTGAAAGCAAAACAAAATTTCAGTCCAGTCTCTGACAAAATTTCAGAATCAAAATCGCTATTCTCACTTAAATCTACAGTTTTCACTGTCAAAATAATCAATCATGGGGTCGAATGGACACACATTAATTTGAATGTACTCTTCTCTTATTAAAAACTTATTTCTGTTAGACATCCCTCTATTTTGTTGTTTGACTTCTGAATTAGTATCCCTCTATTAGTTTAACTCTCTTAACTGATGCAAAAAACTTTCGTCTTCTATTTAAAAAAGATGCAAACTAAATACAAACCGGAGTTCCTAAAACTACAGCTCCACTTCCAATTTTCCCATAGATAGAAAAAAAAAAAAAAGTGGTGTTTAATGTTTATATCACATGAAGCCTCAACTATGCCTCAGGTGGATTTTGTTTACTTTATATCATCTGCTCGTACATTTAAACCAATCACCAGAATCCGAAAGTACTTCACAGACACAAGGTCAACTTTACATATGTTCAAATAAACTAACTGTAGTAGTCACAGTGCCATCCAGTAACTTAAAAAAAAAATTCTAAAGAACGTGTAAGTTTGAAAGTGCATATATGACACATCCGTCTGCAGAAGCTTTCCAGTTCAGCAATATCGCGAAGGGGTTAAAGAGGAGTACCTTCATAGGAGACTTTCTATGGTAAAATTGGCTTGTACAGTCAAAAGTCGTTAATTCGGACATCCATAATCTGGACCTCAAAGCTACAAACTTTCAGTGCATGCGTCAATGCATAATGCGTTCACGCATGTGCATACGCGTTACGTGCATAATGTGTTTACACTTGCATGTTTAATGTATAATGGACGGTATAAGGTAAGCTAAAATTATCTACTTATCTATTTCAGTTAATGTTGCAGATCGCGTTGTTCCTTAATCTTCGAATTGGATCCGGCTTATTATTTTTTGCAGACTGTTAGAGCAATTTTATAAAAGTAAGCTTGAACTTTCGATTATGTCAAATAGAATTTCCGATGCTGGACACTGCCAAAGGATCTACAAAGCGAAAGCATGTTTCGATGTCCATCAAACAAAAAGTGGAATTGCTGCAAAAATGGATAAAGGCATATCTTTTGTTTCTCTAACCATTCCGAAATTTGTTAATCAATTTCACACTGCTCTGCGGGGGAGGGGAATGTCGTGGCGCGCAATGAACTGGAAGTTGATCTGTCAGCACTATCCTTATCTTCAGGGCATATGTTTTTATTTCATTCGGCTTATAGTTCATTACTAAATATAGTATTTTATCTCAATGTGCTCTGTCTTTGATATGATTTAAATCAAATTCATTATAAATATCATGAATACACATCAAATAGTTTTCTGGATGCAAATTTCTAATTTTGACTATGCGTAATGTATGCTTTGTGCATGCGTGCTTTGAAAGAAATGTTTAATAAAGTAAACAAATAAATATTAAGCTTTTTTGTAAATTTTGATAACCTTTAGATCATAATTGTTCTTTATTTCATAAATTACGGTTTCATATTTTTAATTTTATAATTTCTGCATGCCATTTTACCAGATTTAAACTGATGATCTATAATCCGGAAAAATCGATAATCCGGAATCACTGAAGTCCCGACGAGTCCGAATTAAAGACTTTTGGCTGTATTCCCATAGTCATAAGGAATAATTAATTATTTTTTATGTTAAATTCCACTCGACTGAAACAGCATTGTTGTCATGCTTCTAGCAGACTCTTTCAAAATATTTATTAATCCTATCCAGTATTTGTATCCTTCAACACTTGGCCATTGAAAAGCCAGACGATAATAAAACTGATCAACAGATGCTGATAAACAAAAAATAATACCACGTATTTTAATAGCAAAAAGCATAAAAATAATACAAAAGTATTTTAAATAGCAAAGTTTAATAATATTTCAAATTGCTTCTTAAAATTAATTATAAAATATAATATTTCTGTATCCAGTCTGGATAACAGAACAGTACCTCATTTATTATTAAATCTATTAGCTTGTAAAAAAAACTTTTAAAGAAGATATGGCAATACAACCACATACATAGATATGCAGCATTAACACACATATATATACAGCCAAATATTTTAATGCAATTTTAAATTAAGAATAAGAAATTAGACACAAACAGTATCATAGTTATATTAAGGACCTTAAGAAAATACCTCTAATATATCATTATAAAAGGAATTGCGAATTGACTCGTTTTCTAACACTGATAAGGCATCACAGCCACGAGCAACCTTTCCACCTAAACAAAAATTAAACAAGATAAAATAAAAGAGTTACTGAGATATTAATTAAAAAAAAGCAATAATTTATCAATTGCCCTGTTTTGGAATATTATATTTAAAATAATGTATATTTTTGAAATAATATTTAAAAAAAATATGCTCGTCATATATTTATCTTCATAAATTTTTATTAATTTACCTTGGAACACTCAGCAAAGGCATCAGAGACTGTCCTAAATTAACTAAATTACTTGAAAACCAATTTCTTTGCATTTGAAGTATCTATTTTTCAAAACATGAACTAAACCTAATAAAAACTCTACTATAGAAACTGCAGTAATAACAGCTTTTAGATGATATTTTTTGACAACACATATACCAGAGCTACAGAGAATTTTACATTAGCTTTGTTGACAATCAAACATTACTCATATTTAGAGCAAATCAAAGGTCATGATGATATATTTATGCTTTGAAGAATGAAATAAAAATTGTCAGCAATAGCCATAAAAGTAAGGATGAAACTGAAAATAATACAAGTTCAAACTTCCTAAACATGAAAAAAGTCACATAATTTCTAGACATACATTAGTTAATTATGATAAAACTTACAAATTCTATTCTTTAAGAGTGATGCCCTTTAAAAACCTTTCAATGGAGAATTTATTCATATTAACATTACAGATGAAGGAAAACTATGGATAGGACAGATCAGTTCAAATTCTCTTCCTTGACATTAAAGCAAATGGAAAAAAGAAATTTCTCATGCTCATCATGGTTCATAATTCGTCTAATAGTATATTCTCTCATAGCTAAAAAACATTTAATAATTTTGCAAAATCTCAAAAAGTACATCCAAGTGATAAAATTTGTTTGAAAACAACTCTAATAAAACATGGTTCTGACATTCCGCCAAATGAACTTGTGAACTACGGATACACGTTATAAGGTATTTCTCCCACTTTCCTAGCATGCCTTCGTGGTGTAACGATAGCACACTGGGCTGGTATTCCAGAGGTCCGTGGTTCGATTCCCGGCGAAGGCGGTTGCATATTTTTCATCTTTTCTGCTTCCAATTAACCTAATGTCTCTACAACATAAAGAATTCCAATCATTGAAGTTCTCTAAAAAGTTTTCTGAAAACATAACCAGTTTTTTTTTTATTTTATGCATTGTACTAGTAATTCTTGAGCAAAAGTTCCACATTGTAGTTACAATTCTAGATCTCTTTTTCACCATGAACAGTTTAAGTGCACAGGTTCTTTTTTGAGACGTTGAAAAATGTAGATACATTAGATAATGTTCAGAAATATGTAGCACTTTGTAATAGCATAAGCAGACTGCTGTAAAGCCAAGATAAAAACATAGCTGTGGTAATGTGTCAAAATGGCTTGCAATTTTTTTTTTTTTTTTTTTCATTTGTTTCTGTAGTCCAAGTATTTGCCCTGCCAAAGCTGCTGGTCCAATGTAAGTCTGTCAACTAAATTTTTATTCAAAACTGAATTCTTTTGCAATTTTAAAAACATGCTCACATAGCAATTTAGCAGGATGACTGGCCATAACATCAGAGAAAAAATACTCCTTGGTACTTTTCTTTATTACTTATATATATGAGGCAAGCAGATACGTGTGTCATTTCATCTAGATGGACTGAAAGAAACTGAGAATTCGCTAATTTTATTATTTTTTATAATACTTCTGAGAAATTCTGAAATGCAATTTATAAGGTCGTAATGAATTCTAGTCTCACAGAAAAGGACTTTCTTTCAAGAAATTATCAAGCATGCATATCATCATATAGGCTTAGGAGATTTAGCAATGTTATGTAATTTTCCTTATAGATTCATCCCAGCCTCTAAATGGCAGCTCTTGTTTTAACAAAAAACATATACAATCTATTAATCATTTAGAATAATTTTTATTATGGCCTCATTATGAAGTTTTACAGATATATACTTCTATTGATTTAACTGGAGATCTATTCTTGATCGCCCAAATATGAAAAGCTGTAAAATTGTTTTACTATCAACAAGAGATATTTTTTGTCCTGAGACAGATATTGATTTTAAATCAATCCTTAATTTACACACTTGCTAATCAATGCCAAACAACAGACAAGGCCAGCAAAACAACCTTCATTTAACAACATACCCTACTATCCAACTAGTTTTCTTACATATAGCAAAATGGAAATGTCTGACAAATTCCAGCATTTTATCTTTATGTTTACAAAAAAAATTGGTGAACAAAGGACAAGGTCTACATTTTTCAAAGGAAGATTGAAGGTTAAATGTTTCATAAATTAAATATTGTGTTACATCCTCTGTTCCATTTTTGGCCATGTTTCAAAAGCTTTTAATTAGAGAAGATTCAATATGAAAATAAGGTAACTTTAAAACATTGTTTCATGAAAATTCAGAGAAACTCAGAAAGAAATAAACCAGAATTAAATAAAATACTTATTGCACAATGATAATAAACATTTAAGCAGAAAACTTATGATTGACACAGCTAAAATGTAATGATAAATTGCATTTAAGCAAACTAAAATACAATTGAAAAAATCACAATAATATCCCTAGAAAATTTAACGAGATTCTTGAATGAAGACCATGTTGCCTAGTTTTTTCTGATTTTTATTCACATCATACACAAAAAGCACATTAGACTGAAAAATTCAAGCGTAATTAATCCAAGAAGAGAAATTAACCTGAGATTAACAATAATGCGTAATTAATCCGAAAACAGAAAAAAAAAAAAAAAAAAAAAAACTAGCTAGTAAGCAAGAAAAATGTCACATCCAAATTCTAAGGTCTTATTTTCATAAACATTTGCCGCAAGGCCTGCTGGGAAAAGAATTCAGATGACAATTATTCACGAGGTCTGGTCATTTTATTTTTAACAACTTGCCCCCCCCATGAACCACAGGGGGTTCATCATACTTGTATATAATCCAGGGCTGCGGAGTCGGTAGGAAAAATGACCGACTCCGACTCCTTCATATATACGTAAATATATACACATGGGTACAGCTTATTTTTTCATTATAAAAGAAGTAATAGATGCTACAGGAAACAATTGATGCACAGCAATTTTTTTATATTAATTAGCATTTATTATGAAATGGAAAAACTGGCATTAGTAATTTTTAAGAAACAGTAAAACTTCGGCAAGATCTTCTTTGTTAGAGGACCATTGATCAAATTTGATAAACTTCAGAACTGAGAAGAGTGTTCCCACACTGACTTGATTAGGAAGAAGAGCTGTTACTGTTACAGCTACTTCCTTTAACTTTTCAGGATAGATTTTTACAAGTTCTAAAAAACGTGTATTGCAAGAACAGTCATATTTATCTATTTCTTCAAATGCCATGTATAAATCTTGTTTGTATTTTTTCATTTTTACATCTAAAGGCTCTTGGTTCTTTATTTTCATTCGCTTTGCCTTGGCCTTTTCAATATTATCCAAATATTTCTCAAAATCTAATTCATCAGTGGAAGAGGATGATAGATACTCAGTTGCAGTATCTGCAGTTTGACTGTCCTGATTTGAATACACCAGCTGTTCTGAGAATAATTTCATTCTTAATGAAAGTTCATATATAGCTTTCTTTACCTTTTTAATTTGTTTGTCAAAATTCGGTGTTTTCGGATTTACATATATTGGAGCCAGCGCGATCTTATTGTCTAGCAAACTAGTTTCTCTTTTCTTCATTGAAAAAATGATTCCTTCTGCAATAAACCCTCCATTTCAGAAAGAACAAACATCACATTCTTCCAGTCTTGCCTCTTGTTAATTCTTCAGATTGTAGCTTTTTGGTGGCTATATATGTTATAGAAAGAAGAGTTTCCAATTCTGAAAGATCATTCCACTGTCTTTCTGTTAGTGAAACATTAGGGTTACCTACACCTAACATTCTCGTCCCTGTTAATTCTTCAGATTGTAGCTTTTTTGTGGCTATATACGGTGTTGAAAGAAGGATTTTCAGTTCTGCAAGATCATTCGACAGTCTTTCTGTTAGTCAAATATTAGAATTATTTACATCTTCTGGAAAAAGTTCTTAATCCTGACAACCACTATATCACCAAATATGTACTTCTCCATTTGCATTGCTCCTTTTCCTGCTCGCTTCCTAAGAATGGCATCAATTTTGGGACTTCTTGCTGCTTACCTAAATTCACCAATGAGTTTAGTAACTAAATGAATCAGTTTAATCAATAATGGCAAATATCACATCTATCTTGCTCCCTTGTATTTATTTACTAATATGTCAATAAAGAAAAAATCACAATAACATCACTAGAAAATTAAACGAAATTCTTGAATGAAGACCATGTTGTCTAGTTTTTCCTGATTTTTATTCACATCACACACAAAAAGCATATTAGACTGAAAAATCCGAGAACAGTAATTAATCTGAGATGAACAATAATGCATAATTAATACATGAACAGAAAAAAAAAAAAAAAAAAAAAAAAAAACTAGCCTGATGAACAATACACCCAAATTCTAAAGTCTTATTTTCATAAACATTTGCCGCAAGGCTTGCTGGGAAAAGAATTCCAATGACTGTTAATCATGGCGTCTGATCACGTGATCATTTTATTTTTAACAACAATCACTCTCTTCTCTGTAGCTGTGATGCTATTACATATACATGAATCAAAATTTGTGATTTCTGATTGACAAAGTATTCTCTCGACACTTTCTTTTCCCACTAAAACTTTTAAGGCTGAAGTCTATGCACAATGCAGGCTATGGACTAATCTGTCAGTGTTGATGCTGTGCAGTCAACAGCATGTCTTGAAAGGGGACACAATACCTGATGAAGTGCCTACACTGAGGCATTTGTTAAAATGATTTCCTCACTGAAGGTGAATTTTGCAAATCATTCTTGGTTTAAGCACTTATTCTGTCACTAAAAGACGATTACAAAGAAACCAAGATAAAAAGCTTTCTTTAACATAATAATACTAAATAATTTTCTTGGGTTACATACTTTCTTTCAAATTTCTAGGTAACAT